AACTTTTGTTTGTCTTCTGACCTTTTCTCCGCAGTGCTTTCCAAAATCACAATTCACTGTGATAGCAGGGGTTGACCTGGGGAGGCGCTGCTGCTGCTCTGATGCAACGCTGCCTCTGCTGTGCTACCAAAGATTTACTAACTTAATGTGTAAAGCAGAACCCGGGTCTGCCAACCAACGTTCATCTGCTGTCCGCTGAACCTGAAGACAGGATTTTGGCTAAAAGCTCACTATCATAAACATTAGACCATTTGAGTAAGTGACTGAGCAAAGAAGAGATGAAGAGAGAGACTGAGGGAGTCCAACAGAGAGTGTGAGAGAGACCGAGGAACATCAGTAATCTCCACTGCCATCATCCATTAGCTTTTTATGGCAGGCTTTATGAACAGAACTTGTGCTGATCTGATCTGAACTCTCAGCAGTGTGATTACCAGTAAAATAAGTCTATATAACATTAGAATCAATGTAAGTAAACATAAACACAGAATGTGTTATTGTTAGTAAAGTTGTGAATATGCAGGTTAGTTGAAAACAGTTAGAAGAACACAGATTTGGTTCATTGCATGGATTTGTTCAATTCTGCCATCTGATTTAATTTAACCAAAGATAAAATACAACGCTAAATCATAAAAAGTTGGGACAGTACAGAAAATGCAATTTGACCTTCATTGCAGACAGTATGAACACAACATATTTCATGTTTTGTCTGGTCAAAACATGAAATATCTTGGGGCAAAGGGCCTAATTTCAGTGATTTCTGAGTTTCTGAGACCATGCGTGCCCTCTGCACGTCCACTTCAAGTTAAGGTGATAGTTTTTTTGATAAAGTAATTTACTGACCTTTATTCCATTGTTGTTATTATTATTATTATGCTTAGTGTGTGAAACTGTGAAACAAAGCTGTTTCATGATTTTTCCACTGACAAAAACAGAATAAAAGCCGAGAACACACGGACCGCTATAGCACCAAAAGGACTTCAGTCATACCATCTACAGCACATTGTCTATCAATCTGGAGAACCATTTCACCATGCAAAGAGCTCTTTAATCAGGCAAAAGGTTGTTTTGTGGTCCTTGTTCTATATTGAACCACCATCTTTACTAAAGGATCTCTGAAGAACCATCTGAGAAAGCTACTCTTAAAGATACTTCAGTAGTGAGTGTGAGAGAGTTTGATAGTGTGAGAGAGTTTGATAGTGAGTGTGAGAGAGTTTGATAGTGTGAGAGAGTTTGATAGTGAGTGTGAGAGGGTTTGATAGTGTGAGAGAGTTTGGTAGTGAGTGTGAGAGGGTTTGATAGTGAGTGTGAGAGGGTTTGATAGTGAGTGTGAGAGAGTTTGATAGTGAGTGTGAGAGGGTTTGATAGTGAGTGTGAGAGAGTTTGATAGTGAGTGTGAGAGAGTTTGATAGTGAGTGTGAGAGGGTTTGGTAGTGAGTGTGAGAGAGTTTGATAGTGAGTGTGAGAGGGTTTGGTAGTGAGTGTGAGAGAGTTTGATAGTGAGTGTGAGAGGGTTTGATAGTGAGTGTGAGAGAGTTTGATAGTGAGTGTGAGAGAGTTTGATAGTGAGTGTGAGAGGGTCTGATAGTGTCAAAGGGGTTTGATTGTGAGTGTGAGAGAGTTTGATAGTGAGTGTGAGAGGGTTTGATAGTGTCAGAGAGTTTGATGGTGTGTGAGAGGTTTGATAGTGAGTGTGAGAGAGTTTGATAGTGAGTGTGAGAGAGTTTGGTAGTGAGTGTGAGAGAGTTTGATAGTGAGTGTGAGGTTTGGTAGTGAGTGTGAGAGAGTTTGATAGTGAGTGTGAGAGGGCTTGATAGTGAGTGTGAGAGAGTTTGATAGTGAGTGTGAGAGGGTTTGATAGTGTCAGAGAGTTTGATAGTGAGTGTGAGACGGTTTGATAGTGAGTGTGAGAGGGTTTGATAGTGTCAGAGAGTTTGATAGTGAGTGTGAGAGGGTTTGATAGTGAGTGTGAGAGGTTTGATACTGAGTCTGAGAGAGTTTGATAGTGAGTGTGAGAGGGTTTGATAGTGTCAGAGAGTTTGATGGTGTGTGTGAGAGGTTTGATAGTGAGTGTGAGAGAGTTTGATAGTCAGTGTGAGAGGGTTTGATAGTCAGTGTGAGAGAGTTTGATAGTGAGTGTGAGAGAGTTTGATAGAGAGTGTGAGAGAGTTTGATAGAGAGTGTGAGAAAGTTTGATAGTGAGTGTGAGAGAGTTTGATAGTGTCAGAGAGTTTGATAGTGAGTGTGAGAGAGTTTGATAGTGAGTGTGAGAGTTTGATAGAGTGTGAGAGAGTTTGATAGTAAGTGTGAGAGGGTGTTATAGTGTCAGAGAGTTTGATAGTGAGTGTGAGAGGTTTGATAGTGAGTGTGAGAGAGTTTGATAGTGTGAGAGGGTTTGATAGTGAGTGTGAGAGAGTTTGATAGTGAGTGTGAGAGAGTTTGATAGTGAGTGTGAGAGGGTTTGATAGTGAGTGTGAGAGAGTTTGATAGTGAGTGTGAGAGGGTTTGGTAGTGAGTGTGAGAGAGTTTGATAGTGAGTGTGAGAGGGTTTGGTAGTGAGTGTGAGAGAGTTTGATAGTGTGAGAGGCTTTGGTAGTGAGTGTGAGAGAGTTTGATAGTGAGTGTGAGAGAGTTTGATAGTGAGTGTGAGAGGGTTTGATAGTGTCAGAGGGTTTGATTGTGAGTGTGAGAGAGTTTGATAGTGAGTGTGAGAGGGTTTGATAGTGTCAGAGAGTTTGATGGTGTGTGAGAGGTTTGATAGTGAGTGTGAGAGAGTTTGATAGTGAGTGTGAGAGGGTTTGATACTGAGTGTGAGGGAGTTTGATAGTGAGTGTGAGAGAGTTTGATAGTGGGTGTGAGAGGGTTTGGTAGTGAGTGTGAGAGAGTTTGATAGTGAGTGTGAGGTTTGGTAGTGAGTGTGAGAGGGCTTGATAGTGAGTGTAAGAGAGTTTGATAGTGAGTGTGAGAGGGTTTGATAGTGTCAGAGAGTTTGATAGTGAGTGTGAGACGGTTTGATAGTGAGTGTAAGAGAGTTTGATAGTGAGTGTGAGAGAGTTTGATAGTGAGTGTGAGAGGGTTTGATAGTGAGTGTGAGAGAATTTGATAGTGAGTGTGAGAGAGTTGGATAGTGAGTGTGAGAGGGTTTGGTAGTGAGTGTGAGAGAGTTTGCTAGTGAGTGTGAGAGAGTTTGATAGTGTGAGAGGCTTTGGTAGTGAGTGTGAGAGAGTTTGATAGTGAGTGTGAGAGGGTTTGATAGTGAGTGTGAGAGAGTTTGATAGTGAGTGTGAGAGGGTTTGATAGTGTCAGAGAGTTTGATGGTGTGTGTGAGAGGTTTGATAGTGAGTGTGAGAGAGTTTGATAGTCAGTGTGAGAGGGTTTGATAGTGAGTGTGAGAGAGTTTGATAGTGAGTGTGAGAGAGTTTGATAGAGAGTGTGAGAGAGTTTGATAGTGAGTGTGAGAGGGTTTGATAGTGTCAGAGAGTTTGATAGTGAGTGTGAGAGAGTTTGATAGTGAGTGTGAGAGAGTTTGATAGAGTGTGAGAGAGTTTGATAGTAAGTGTGAGAGGGTTTGATAGTGTCAGAGAGTTTGATAGTGAGTGTGAGAGGTTTGATAGTGAGTGTGAGAGAGTTTGATAGTCAGTGTGAGAGGGTTTGGTAGTGAGTGTGAGAGAGTTTGATAGTGAGTGTGAGACTGCTATTTATTGACCCTTTGGTTTTTACTTTACGTTACTGTTTTCTGTTTCCCCCTGACCCTCCATGAACCAGGATAAAGAAAAATGACTGGGCAGCTAATTGCTGCCCCCTGCTGGTCTATGCTGGTGTAACATACTAAGTGTTAGCTAGTATTTTTATGTTCATACAGCAGTAAGGGAAAATGTAATGGAGATTTTTTGAAGTTTTTAATGGATGGAATTGTACAAGTGATGTTAGAAGTTTTGCTTGTTTTTGTTATGTTATACAAGCAGAAAAAAAGTGTCACTTGTGTAATTTATTTTTTCATTTTACCCCTCACAGCTTCTCATCTGATTTCTTAAATACTGTGCCATCAGTGTGCTAGTTGACACTGAACTCTCTCCCGCTTGTTGTTCTATGTTATGACACAATTTAACAACTATCATTAAGTTTTCATTTGACCACTACTATAGTAAACTACAGACCCTGCAGTCTAAACTGAGCAGCTGCTGCAGTTGAGCTCTAACATGCTGATTTAGCCAGCAGTGTTACAGGTTACATTTTAGAAGCTTAATCTGTAACTGCCCTTATGAACACTCACATTTATATCCTAGTGTCACATGTTAGCCTACAGTGTGTTGCTGCACACCTGATCATCTCAGGAAGTCAGAGTCACTCTGTGTAGTGTAACTATCTCACTATCAGATCATCACTGTTTCCACACTCAATCTCATGATTCCTTTAGAAATGATCGAGGTCTGGACCTCAGTGTCCTCACGCTGGTGATGACCATGTACACAGATACTCAATAACTCATAATGAAGAAAACAGCAAGCAGTTTATTAATATCTCTTTAATAATGTCTCTCAGTAAACAGCAGGCAAAGTCACAACAGGCAGAGGAAAGACCAGAAAGCAACATTATTCAGCATTCATAAATATAAACACGCTGAGCAGAACTACACAAAAAATTGTGCTGCTGTATTAACATTACTAAATGGTTTAGATCATCAGTGCTCAGACTTCCCATATTTAACTAGCACTTAAAAACAGTTACAGTACTGTGCAAACGTTTTAGGCATCGATTAGTCTATTACAATCAAAACGAATAAACACGGATACAGTGATCAAAATGTGTTGTTGTGAGTAAAGTTATGATTATGCAGGAAAGACAAAAACAGTTAGAGAACTCAGGGTTGGCTCATCACATGGATCTATTCAATTCCATCACCTGATTCAATTCAATGATTAGATAAACTATGTATTGGATGGGAAGTGTTAATGCTGGAATCCAGGAGAGCTTAGATGGCCTAAGAATTTTGCACTGTACAGACCTGGGTCAGTTTGCCTCTTCAGTTTGAGTACAAGGCAGCAAGACCCTCATCCCACAATTCAACCTTAATGATCGATTGGCCAAAAGCAGACATTGTTCCCTTCACCAGAGCTCCTTTTCCAGAATATGTTATGGAGCTCCCAGTACCTTTCTCTCTTCTGAAGGGACCGCTGTCTCTATAATACATCTGTTTGAATAGATTATCACCACATGAAATGCCTGGTTCATAAATGCCAAGAGCAAACCAGTTTTCATACAAGCTGTAGGAAAAAGGCACAGAGAACATGATGGCCAGTTCACCGACATGGTTTGTTCTATTATTGAGGATGTTGTACGTCAGGACCCCAGCAGAACCACAGGATGCGTAGTCAGTTTTGGAAAATGAGCATGATTCTTGTTTCTTTCCTGTGATGGTAGGTTGTGGAGGATTGTGACAGTATCCACTGGAGGTGTAGGTCCTGTTATACAGAAAGAGAGATTATAATTCAGAGTGTAGAATACAGACCTGTAACAGGTAACAGGCAGACAGACAGTGTGAGGCAGAGGGCAAAAAAGGGAAAATATACTACACACAGTTTCACAAGTAGGCCTGTAAGATTCTGAACAGTTTTAGGTGCCAGTTCCTTTAAAGTGCTGCAGCAAAACCAGTTCATCTTTGGCATGTGCATCATATGACAGACTTTGAAGCCATCTTTGAACCCATGTGATGCAGGAAGCCTGACTGGGAAACCCAAAGAGAGCTCACAAACACCAGCATGAGTCGAAATTAAATAATTCTCCATAGTTTATCGGTTATAGGTCCAGGTCCGCATAGGATAGCGTCTGGGTCCGGACTCAGACCGCGGTCTGCCTATCAGTGACCTCTGCTCTAGGATCTGAGGTCATTCTCTCAATGTGTGCATATCTTCTTGAATTCTCTTTTAAAGGCTGTTCATGAGAACGAAGCGTTTCCGGCATGATGGGTCAGTCCTTGGTGATTTCCTGAGTACCCATTGGTCAGTTTCACACAGAATGTAGATGGACACATGAATCCACCAGTTCCATATGGTGAGAGGCAGATGTCACGTATGATCTTGTGATGAGATGGAATGGAAAGGGCGACTCTACAGATTCAGGAAATGGATGAACTGGATTTCTGTGCTGGATCATCACAAAGAGAGAGAAACAGATACAGAAACATCTGAATTGTTGCGTAGGCGAGTTTGTGGACCCCAGAGAGTTAACCAGAGTGCTTTATTTCTACATAAGTGACTTGTAACTCAAACATCTTTTCAGAAATCTTACTCACTTTAAGGTTTGTTTAAGTGTCCCTTTTGGCTCTCTCTGTGCATTTAGACACGATTAGGGTATGTGCTTCTTTCAAGTGCCGGTGGGAACTCTGCAACTCTGCAACTCCACCTCCATGTTCCTGGACCCTTAGTGACCAGCCACCAGGGTTGAAGGTGAGGTGTGCCCAGGGATGGGGGAGTAGCTAAGTAGCGCGCTACTTTTTGTGGTTAGCTACAAATTTTTGAAGCTAATTGCTGTAGCTGCAACAGTTTTATGAAATATAGCTGTAGCGCCTACAAATATTTCTGTAGCTATAGCAAAAACTTCTGGTACAATTTCGCTACAGGCTTCAGAGAATCCACGCAAAATCTGAAACACAGAACGCGGCCATTCATCAATATAAACACAAACACAGAATTATTTGCTCTGCTTTAACCTTTAGCTCAGCTATAGCCGCTTTTCTCGCATCTCAGGAAACTTTTCCGCGAGTTTCTTGTAAAATGTCTCTCAATGTTCGACTTTTTGCGAGGCTGAAGTCGTTTCTCATTCTCCAGCTTCTCGTCCGAATTGTCCCGTTCCACCTTAAATAGTGCCTGAGGCACCAGATTGTACAGCTGCATCATTTAAGGTGGAATGGGACAATTTGAATGAGAAGCAGGAGATTGAGAAGCGACTTCAGCTTTGTGAGATGTTGCAGATTAAACGTATCAGTAAATGAGCTGAGTGATTATAAATGCAAAAAAGGCCGTCCATCTCCAATTTATCAATGTTCGTCTTTCTTTGCCTTTTCGTTATCTGCGTTGCTGTGTGTCCACTAACTAGCTGTAACAATTAAGTAGCTGTTATGCATTAACTCCAGCATTTAAGACCATTTTTTGTGAAAACTATGTTAGAACTGTGTGTTATAATGATTTTACAGCAAAGGAGGATTATGTTATTTTGCATTAAAATCTAGTTCTGCTGTGGAGCCGCAGCAGCTCTGCAGCAGTGGAGAGATTATTCAGACCTGATTCTCACCCCAAACAGAGCCAGGGTCAATGATGAGGATTTTGAGGCTAAAGTGTTTCTGAAGTTTAAAGGACTCTGAATGTCATGTTTGTAAATATCATGCTGAAATGTTTAAATTGGAGCAGTTTTATTTCAACAGTTGACAATTCATTGCACAAACTTGTTTGGTTGGTATTTGGTTATTTTTGTTGATTTTTGTTAGGAAAAACCTGGAATGATTGACTTTAGTCTAAAGTTTTGTTTGCATAACGCACCTTGGATTGTTGGATTGTTGTTTACACTTAAACTCACTTTTTGGAGATCTTTTTGTATATCTACAGCTTTTCAATCGTATGTTTCTTTCTGGCTCAGGATTAAATGCATTGTCAGTTGGACTTGTTTGGTGTGTCAGGTGGAGGTTCACAAACATTCTGACAATCACGCTTTGAAAGTAGCTAAAACGTAGTGCACTACTTCTCAAAAAGTAGCTAAAAAGTAGCCACAACTTTTTCTGGAAAAGTAGCAAAATTGTAGCTAGCTACAAATTTTGGGAAAGTAGTAAGTAAGTAGTAAGTAAGTACTAATTTTTCAGTAGCTATCCCAACCCTGGGTGTGCCTGGCCAACTCCAAAGTCAGGGTGTAAGGGAGGCGGCATCACCGTAGGGAATTTCAGGAAAGCAAGTGCTGTTTCAGTAGAGCTCTTTGGACACTGTAGGGAGTTTCAGGAAAGCAAGTGCTGTTTCAGTAGAGCTCTTTGGAGCACCACTCCATGTCCTTTGGGGCCACAGGCAGCTGCTCATTGATGCCCTCCAGGGTGGCAGACAGTAGAGTCCAGCGTCAATTCCTCAACACCCTGGAGGGCACCAGGTGGCGTTCTTGAGACAGGTGGCAGTTCCGGCTACACTGTTGATGCTGGCGGCAGCTCAGGCATGCTCTCCAGAGCACTTAGTGGTGCACAAAATGCTGGTGGTGGCTCAGGTGTGCTCTACAGACCACTAAGTAGCACTGTTGACACTATTTAAAATAAAGTGTTTAACTATTTAAATTAATAGCATCCAAGTGGGATACCAAAGTAACTGATAGCAACATCTAAGCAACCACCTGGGATTCCATATTAACCACCTGGAATAACATAGCAACCACCTGGAACACTATAGCAGCCACCTGTCAACACCCTTGCAATCAGAGGTACCATAGCAACATCCTAGCAACTACCTGGTATACCATAACAACCACCTAGCAACACCATAGCAAACGAATGGAACACCATCACTTAGCAACACCCTAGCAACTACATGGAATACCACAGCAAGCACCTAACAACACCATAGTAACTATCTGGGATTTCATAACAACCACCTAGCAACACCCTACCAACCATCTGGGATACCAAGGCAACCACTTAGCAACACCGTACCAACCGCCACTCCACAACACCCAAGTAGTAACCTTGGGTAACATAACAACACCCCAGTAACCACTAAAGATAGCATAGCAACGACCTATCAGCATCCTGGGAGACAACAACAAACACATAGCAACTCCCCACTAGCCTTCTGAGAATTACTCAAGCTGCATCATCACTTTGCATTTTCAGGAAATGTGTTTTTCTAGTCTTAATGCAGTTATTATTTAAGTGTCTCCAGGTTTTTCAACCATTTCTCTAATCATGTCTTCACTGTTACTCTGTTGCTCTTTATCAAACTGGGTAAAGTTGTGATTGTAATTAACCAGAAAGTTTCCAGTGACCGTGAGTTCTGCAGGTTAATAACCCAGAAGCCCATTTCAGTCTGAGAGACACTCACTGACAACATTCATCTGTTCTTACCTTGGATCTGTTAAGATGTACTTATCGCTGTAATTGGTGATTTGAATGCTGACATTTCTCCACGTGCCTATGCTCCGGGATACTTGCTCAACAGTGCTGCTGACCAGGGACACGCCATTTAAAGCAGCTGATACTGAAGCTCCTGCAGGACTCATTGTCTGTTGAAAGTGAAAAAAGTCATGAGACACTAAGCATGTCCCTTAAACATGCCATAAGCATTCATTATTATTATTTTATTTAAGTTTTTCTGAGAAGCACAGGCCATGCTTTTCATTCCGAAACTACAGGGAGATTCACTCTAAAGAGGCCCAAAATATTCTGTTGTAACTCCTGTTAGGATGAAGCAATCTGAACCAAAAAAATCGCTACATACCTTGATGTATGTGTATTTGATTGCATTACATGCGATGCTGGAAGTGATCTCCATTTTCTGCCAGACACATGAAAGCGTACGGGGGTATGCACCCGGAAGTTACAAACAGAGGTTAAACGTAGCAATGGCTGTCCGGCGCCTACCTCATCGCTCTGACGCAGGAACATCCTGGCTTGTTCGAAGCTCCAAATGCTGAGGAGCAGATTGCACATTGTTTCGTTCAGATTGCTTCATCCTAGTGAGAGTTATAACAGAATATTCTGGGCCTCTTTCGAGTGAATCTTCCTGTACAACAGACGAATTTTATAAACCTTTTCTCTTTATTATGATGATCTTTATCATAACAGTGATTATCTTTGTAGCTGCCTGTTGATTGCATAGCTTTTGTCTTAGCAAAAATGAGATACCAGCAAAGGTGGGACAAAAGTCTTCATACTGTATTGCTTACAATACACAAACCTGACTTATTCCACCAAGCTCATGGTTAGTGAACTGAGAAATTAGATTTTTAAAATAAATAATGATAGAATACTGATGTACAAATTTTGAGAAATCAAATATAAAAGCGAGAGAACCTCTGTTGTGTTCATGGTTGGCTATATTGTTACAGAATTATATTTAGTTATTTTTAGTTAAGTGGGTTTCAAGCACTGTCCCATTTCCGATGAACTTGCCAGGAAAAGTGGGACACTGTTTAATAAAATACTTAATTATTTATGGTTAAATATAATAATATATTGGTTGGCCACACTTTTAAAAGCTAAGCCTAGCAGCGTGGTGTCCACAGCAAGGCAGCTGAGCAGCGTGACATGCAAACAGCCACCATCCCTAGTGGTGTAGCCTAGCAGCAAAGCAACCCAGCAGCATAGCATAGCAGCCCAGCGGCTGTTATATGTGTTGTGTTATTGTAATTATTACAATAACACATACAAAATGTTTCTTTTTGACATTTTCATAGTTTTCAATAGGCTGCGTCTACAGTAAACCACCACGTATACAGACAGCTGATATTTCTGTGGAGTGTAAAGGGAGTAAGGACGTACCTGTCTCAGCGGGTCTGGGAGAGGTAAGTAGTGCTCACCTGTGCTGTTCCTTTGAAAGTGATGAATCTGCTGCGTTTGGAGCTGATAACCTGTAGAGGAGGAGGAGCTTAAAGCTGTTAGTGTTGTTATGCTCCAGCAGGTCCCAGTCCTGCTCCTGGACCTTCCTTGACCTACAATGTTTTGGTGCTTTCCCTGATCTCATGTGGTTTTGTTTTTTTGTCCATGTTTCAGCAAACTAGACGATAAGAGCCCCGAAACAGAGAGTTCTTATGTTTGATTATTTCATTCAAGGAGTGTAGAATTTCAGGAAAAGAACTAAGATCATGTTCACAACTGTTCAGCCCTACAATTACTGGAAAAAAAGGCCAGAGTGATTCAGAGTGGTTTGGTGTGAAATGGTTCAGATGTCTTTACAGTGGTGGTGATTGGAACCAGGGGTCACCATGACTACAACACAAATATAGACATTTTATTAACTATCCAAAACCCCCAGTGAACCTACACGTGTCTTCTGAGTTTATATGGAATGTTGATGATGGAAAATAGTGGAAAATCTGAAACAATACGTTTTCTTTGGGGACTATTTTGCCTCACAGTGCTCTTAGCATTAGTATTTTTGTGTATATTTATGTTATATTGATATATAACATAATATATATAGTTGTAGTTATATTGTATGCTATACACATTCTTATCCTGTTTCACTTATATGTATTCTATGTTGGTCTTGTTTGTATGCTGCATGAGCATTCTAATTTCCTTTGGAGGTTAATAAAATATCTTAAAATACATTTAATACAGATTTACAGATGTGCTACTGCTGATTAGCAGAACACTGGTATTACAGATATTACAAGTGGCTAAGGGCTGTTTTCATTTTCCTCTTTAAAAGAGCTCCACGCTGCACTTTTAACTTCTCATGTGCCTTAAAAGAAAATTTTTGCATTAAAGACATAAAACAGAATGATTAGCTTGTAACTGTTACATCATTGACACAGATTACATCAAAAAGCATTTTCAGCAATCTGCTCTGACAGTAACACACATAATAATCAGGATTATCTGCTTGTGGAGTTCCTGAGTGTTGGTCTCGGATGTACTGTGAGTTGAATGTGTACATGCTGCTGATTTGAATGGTGATGTTTCTCTCTGTGTTTATGGGATATTTTCTCAGTGCTCAACAGCAACAACAGTTGATACTGAACTTGGGTTCACCACCATTGAGCAGATAAAAAATACCAATAATCACAGATCTGTTAATATTTACACTGTTCTGCAGTCCACCTCTGTTTATAGTCCCAAACCCAATACAACTAATACCAGTACAATGAAAGAATTAATAGCTTTGTGTTTTTATCCATAACTCTTTTTGAAATCCTTGTCAGTTCTGTATGAATGCAGTTTTATATGTATTTTATATAAAGGTCAAATAAATCTAACGGTGACCCTTTTTTGAGTGGTTCTTTTTAGATGAAACAAACACTCAACAGACTCTCAGTGACAGGTCAAAAACATACAGGGGTTAGGATTAGGTTTTGGTTTGAGGTTAAGGTTAGGGTTAGGATTAGGGCCAGGGTGAGGGTTAGAATTAGGTTTTGGTTTGAGTTTAAGTTTAGGGTTAGGATTAGGACCAAGGTGATGGTTAGGATTAGGTTTTGGATTGAGGTTAGGGTTAGGGTCAGGCTTAGGGCCAGGGTGAAGGTTAGGATTAGGTTATGGGTTTAGGTTAAGTTTAAGGTTAGGATTAGGGCCTGGGTGAGGGTTAGGATTAGGTTTTGGGTTGAGGTTAAGATTGTGGTTAGGGTTAGGATCAAGGTAAGGGTTAGGATTAGGTTTTGGGTTGAGGTTAAGATTAGGGTTAGGATTAGGACCAAGATGAGGGATAGGATTAGGTTTTGGGTTGAGGTTAAGGTTGGGGTCAGGATTAGGTTTTGGGTTGAGGTTAAGGTTGGGGTCAGGATTAGGGCCAGGGTGAGGGTTAGGATTAGGGCCAGGGTGAGGGTTAGGATTAGGTTTTGGGTTGAGGTTAAGGTTGGGGTCAGGATTAGGTTTTGGGTTGAGGTTAAGGTTAGGGTCTTCTTGTGAGAATGGAGGAGCCGAATAGTTCTTTGAAAAATACTGTGATAGAGTGATCACACAAGTACTGTTTTTTTTTTTTAACTTTCTGATAAACAATGTTTTGTGCTTTTTTCCTGGCACTAAAAAATAACATACTCTTAATGGCTGGTTTGGCATAAATAAGTAAAGAGTGGTCTCTGACTTTAACATTTACAACATCATTACCATTTAGAATAATAATAATGTGCTCACTGCTGGCTTGGACCATGCCACAGTAGGCTATAGTCTTTAAGATCATTCATATCCAGCTCTCTGTGTTTTTCTCCCTCTATATACATCATAATAGTTCCTTTCGGTTTGTAACACAGCTGCTGTCGTGTCCTAGATACAAGGTTTTATTTCCAGAAACAGAGCCTTGTTTTTCAGCTGCAATAAAGTTGGTTTCACTTTCATCCTGCTCTCTCCCTCACCCAGGGGAACCATACACTGTTAGACATAAAGGCTCTGTGCAGGTTCTCTGAGGTTTTTTTTTCAAGGTACTACAGTGGTTTTAAGGTCTGATTGTGCACCTTAAATAAGTTTTTTCAGGTGAGAAGTACGTATTTGTACCTTTTCATAACCTGACGTTTTAAAACAGAACAATAAAATAAAAAGCGTGGAGACGAGACGGGGTGTGTGGAGTCAATACAACTTAGAAAATATCATTTCAGTGGATTATGGTTCAATTATGTTCCCTGACTAAAGGTACTGAGATGTACCTTTGAGGGTCCCACCCCAGTGACAGTTTTCTACCTTTATTTCTGAGAGTGTATGAGGGAAAAATCTAAGATGATTCTAGGGGCCTGTGACTGAAAGGGCCCTAAAAAGTTAGAACATTAGGTATTTTTTTTCAAATTATGATGTTTAACCTATCATCATTAATGGAATGTTTTATTTGTGATGTACTTATAAAACAGTTTCTCTTTTCTTGCTTTTGGCAAAAAAGAAAGACATCCAGAAAGCCTATGTATCGCCTCAACTGCTTCAGTAAAGAAAATGTTTCTATATAGACACATGACCACTCGAAGAACCCTTTGCATGATTAAAGGTTTTAACCCTGATTAAACCCTTTGCTTTTTCAACCTACAGCTCCTTCTCCATCAATCTGAAGAACGCTTTCACCATGCAAAGAACCATTTAATCATTTAATCATGTTCTTTCAGTGTTCATGGTTCTATATACTTTACTAAAGAACCTTTAAAGAACCATCATTTTTAAGTGTGTAGGAAACTTTTTGGATTCATCATGTAGCTACATCATTTCCAAGGGGACTTAAAATTAACCTTTGTGAGCTTTGTGAGTCATGCGCTGTGTCCCAATTCAGGGGCTGCATCCTTCGGAGGCTGCATTTGAAGGCCGATTGCATCACTGCAGCATGACTAGGCTGTCCTGTTTCAAAGGCTCCTTCATATGAGGCCAATCAATTCTTTAACATTGCAATGATGGATCTAACGGGTGGATCTTTCACCAGTCAACATATCCCGAGGTTCACTGTGTGCCGGCGAGGATTCGAGAACATGGCAGCATCAGCAGAGGAGTGAACGACAGCAGAGGGGACACTTTTAAATGTAAATATTGTGTTTAAACAAATAGCTAACAATACAAATGTTAAAAAAGCCAATGTGGTCTGAAGCAAAACCTATGCTAACGTTTTGTTTTAGGGAGCAAGGAGCCGACGGAGAGAAGCATCTCCAGCGCTAATAAATGAAAAAATAAAAAAACTAAAATCAAAGTTTCTGGCTCCATCCTTAAAGGAACTTGACGGGAGCGGTGTTTCATGATGCAACGGTAAGAGGGGGGAACAGCATTGCTGTGACGCAAACAGGAAACTGCTATAGAGCAGACTGTTTCATTTCGGTTCAGCCTTTACAGGTCTATGCAGCCTTCAAAGAATACGCCTTCACAGACTGTGTCCCTCAAAGGATGCAGCCCCTGAAATGGGAGACAGCTATTGTTTGTTCTGTTGTGTTTAGGCTGTTAGATGGGGCAGAGTACGAGATTGCATTGCACGCTCAATCAGAGGAACCACAGCTGATTTTATAATTTGAAGTACCTTTTTAAATGGTGTGTTTTGTATGTTGTTTGTATATCTGATGGAAACTTTGAATTTCATGTTTCAACTAAATAAAATCAGAGTTTTTGTTAGTATAAAGCAGAGTTTAGTTTAATGCTGCCTCCTCCCCACACCTACACTAAGGCACCTGACCCAGCCAATCAAGGACTTCTAAAGGAATCAAATAGCCGGATCAGGTATGGCAGATTGTGTGTGGAACTACAGTCCACAGGAAGGCAGATCTCCAGGAACATGGTTGGTGACCACTGGTATAGAGCACAGGAGGCCAGTCCAGGTTGTGGAGATACCTCTACCACACTGCAGAGGTTAGCTCTAATCTGATCCAACACCTGATCCAATGAATGAAGGATTTCAGGAGCCTTTGAACACTATAGCTGGGTGTGTTGGATCTGAATTTCCTAGGGTGGCAGGATCTACAGGAGAAGGATTAGTATCTGAGTATCGCACCTCTTTCTTCATAAGATCATTTCTGACCATAACCGTCATGAGCTCAGAACACAGGATTTAACTAATGTAATTAACTCCCAAAAGAATAGCTGTATGCTTTTAGAATTTGTTCTTTTGTTCTCCCATTTCAAGGATTTCCAGCTTGATGTGCATTCAAATATTGAACCTTCGTATTGAATCCTCTCAGCAATGATTTCAGGGTGCAGCCTGACTATAAACATGACAAATTTCTGAGACCAATAAACGGCAGTTTGTAGGCCGAGAACTGCTTTTATGTTTTTTATTTGTTTGTTTTGCCAGGAATAATGTAAAAAGTTGCGTTAAGAATTATACATAGGCATTTCAGGTTGTCTGCAGGTTTTACTGATTGCACATATTGTATGTGCAGAATATTCTTCTTACTCAGTAAATTGAATTAATCTTTTGCATTTTACAGTCTGACTGACAGAACCCTAACCCTAAGAGTAACGTTTACATCCATCATGTGAAACAAAAACAGGATAAATAGAAATGTATTAATAATGCAATAAGCCACGAGAGGCCGTGCGTTACAGTGATTTTATCATGGGAAATGTTCTTAGGCACGACATGAAGCGGAGTAAAACCCCCTTGCCTGTGATAAAATCACTGTAACGCACAGCCTCAAGTGCTTATTGCTTTTATGAAACGGTGACCAACATAAACATATGATGAAATAAATTTTTTTTTAGAAAATAATTAAAATTATTATTAATAATAATTGAAATGAACAAGTATTCCACCAATAAATGTAGTTCCTTTAGAGTATGGTATTGTTGCCAAGCAACCATGGACCGCTGAATGAGGAGAACCTCCTCATTGCTGTATGCTGCGGTCATTTCATTTAACTTTTTGTCGTATAACAATGAACATATGATACATATGATACTGTTTAATGCAAAAACTTTCGCTTTACTGGTCACCAAATTACCACCACGAGTGTTATTTAGCACCAATCCAGCGGTGCCCTCTTCTCATGCTGGGGCTGAATCTCAGATGGCTCCCTGCTCCCTACATAGTGCACTACATAGGAATTTAAATACTGGATCCTGCAGCCCAACAGAGCAAAATACAGCTAGGAAATATTCATTTGGGACTCAGACACATCTACACTCGATAAATGATGCACTCTTTGTCTGTAGAGGCTAGAATGTCTAAACTTTCATACATGGTTTTATCTCTTGACATTTGGTAAAGACTGCAAAGTCAAAGTGTTGTGATCTGTTCTAAAACGGGTGATTTATACTGTCACTGGACTCGACTAACAGGTGACTAGACTAATTTTCACCTTTAAAACTGCCCCATAAACACCAGCAACACCCAGTAGTCTTTTTCTTCTTAGTTTCAACTGGAACACAGAATTCAGCCTTCATAACTGATTGGTCAGTCTTAATGCTTTCATCACTGTAGAATTCAGTCTTCATAACTGATTGGTCAGCCTTAATGTTTTCATCACTGTAGAATTCAGTCTTCATAACTGATTGGTCAATCTGAACACTTTCTTCACTGTGGAATTCAGTCTCCATAACTGATTGGTCAGTCTTAACGCTTTCATCACTGTAGAATTCAGTCTCCATAACTGATTGGTCAGTCTTAACGCTTTCATCACTGTAGAATTCAGTCTTCATAACTGATTGGTCAGCCTTAATGCTTTCATCACTGTAGAATTCAGTCTTCATAACTGATTGGTCAGCCTTAATGCTTTCATCACTGTAGAATTCAGTCTTCATAACTGATTGGTCAATCTGAACACTTTTTTCACTGTGGAATTCAGTCTCCATAACTGATTGGTCAGTCTGAACAGTCTCATCATTGCAGAATTCAATGGTCATAATTGACTGACAGCGAGACATTGTTCCCCGCACAAAAGCATCTTCATCAGAATATGTTAAAACCGTCTGTTTACCTGCTCCTCTGGTGAACGGACCCTGTTCATAATACATCTGCTCAAACAGACGCTGATCGCATGAAACTCCTGGCTGAAAAATGCCGAGGCCAAAGTAGTTTTGATATAAATCGTCATAAGGCACAGAGAACATTATGGCCAGTTCACCAACACAGTCATTTCCATTGCTGAGGATTTGGTAAGTCAAGACTCCACCAGAACCTCGAGCTGAGTGTGGGGTTTTGGAAAAGCAGCAAACATCTGCTTCCTGTTTTTCAATTGTAGGTTGTGGAGGACGGTGACAGTATCCACTGCTGCTGTAGTGCCTAAAAAATGACGTTCTAGAATAAAAGGTTGCGTCAGTTAAGGCTGAATTCCAGTCAAGTAACAAGTCCAAGATGATTTGTGAGTCAGTTAAGGATGAGTCTGAGTTGAGTTGCGAGTCAGTTAAGAATGAGTCTGAGTTGAGTAGCAAGTCATTTAAGGGTGGGTCAGTTAAAAGTGAGTCTGATTTGAGTCCTGAGTCAGTTACAGGTTAGTCTGAGTTGAGTTGTGAGTCGTTTAAGGGTAAGTCTGAGTCGACAGTCAGTTAAAGGGTTAGTCTGAGTTGAGTTGTGAGTCAGTTAAGCGCAAGTCTGAGTCGACAGTCAGTTAAAGGCGAGTCAGTTAAGGGTGAGTCTAAGTTGTGTCACAAGTCAGTTAAGGGTTAGTCTGTGTTGAGTCCTGAATCAATGAAGTGTGAGTCTGGGGATGAACCATGTGAAGTCACTGAAAATGTGTTATTTTATATGTTCTTCACAGAAAATGTGCAAAGGCCAAGAAATCTGAGGCTGAAATAATAATAAATCGCATCATTTTTTCTTTTGGTAAACTTTGAAAATGGGTCCCACAGACCTGAACACCACACAAGGGTTAAATAAGGCATGGTAAAAATATCCCCTCTGATAAATATCGATCTTCAATCATAACACGATCACCATGCCGACATTTACCTGGCTTCATGCCTCCGATGGTCGTGTACCAATATGAGGCACAGAACATTTTTTTCAACACTAACATGTGAACGCAGCATTAGAGTTGCTGTACCCTGCACTGTGGGACCACCTTTACCAACCAGTACTCCAAAGCCTGGTTAGTTCCCTTCACTGACTGGAGCCTCGCTGGACTTCAACAGGGATCTTCACTCATCCTTGCGCATGTCATAAGTCTCTCAGTCCTCTCTGGAATCCACCTTGCACTAACGTAGTATAACTATACACTGTTTATGACACTGTTTATCACGTTAGACCAATTAGAAAAAGTTCTCCGCAATGGTTCCTCATCGTTCTAAAGTTAGCTGTCTGATGATGAATAGGTTTAGAAGAACTTTAAAAGGATGGTGAGTTTATAGAATGAAACGCCTTTAAGCTCATGAGTAACACAGACCATCAGAATGAGCTGGTTATAAAATTCAGGTTCTTACCTTGGATTTGCTAGAATGTATTTTTCACTGTAATTGAAGATCACAATGGTGACGTTTCTCCCTGTGTCCATATCCTGAGTTATTTCCTCAATACTGGTGCCAGCCAGGGACACGCCAGTTGACATGCATGGTGCAACTGCCATTGTCTACTGTGAGCCAGAGAAGAAAAGCGAACAAAAATCACAACATCTCATAAACAAACAGTTTTCTTATATCGTATTTGTTTCTATATTCTGCATTTTTTTCTTGTATTTTTTTCAGAGGTCCACTAACATTTGTGTAGTTTTATGTACCAAAAAAGCCATTGTTCACTTCTACACAATAATTTCCAAAACTCTCTTTATCACTTACACGCAAACAAGCTGTTTTTGTTACAGACCCTTTAAGAGTGACATACATTGTGTTTGATGCAAGAGCAAATATTCTCTACAGGTTTTAAATCTGGACTCTGACCAGCCAGAATCCTCAGTAAACACCATTATGTATGTATGTAAATGAGCTATGATAGGCTGCCCCACCCCTCTTACAAAAAAGTTACACATTTGGCTCAAAGATGTTATCACATGTGATTACTGACAGAGATTTTGAATAAATATTCCCATAATCAGTAATCAAATAGATTAGATATTGTAATCAATAACCAAATAGGTAGTATTGGCTAACAGAGAATATTAATTTTCTCACAAAGGGAAGGCCTTAGACTGTCTGCATAGGAGATTCTAGACACTGGAAAGCCCCTGGGTTCACAGACAGGCCTATGTGTACCTGCTGACCCAGTGAAGAGAGGGGCAAGTTGACCTTGAAAGGTAAAGCAGACTGGTAAAAACCGGTTGAAACCAGTTTTTAGAAGTGAGCTCGACAAGCGATGGCCAAATTGAACGAAGATATGCACCTATTAGAGAATAAGCTAATATAAAAATTTGAGAAGTAAGGTAGGGGGATATCAAACTACCCCAGATAAATGGTATATATACTGTTTTTTGGAACACTGTATTTGCGCAGTTGGGTCTCTCGAGACCCTGTGCCACTTAATGCTGAAATAAAGAAGAGGCCTTTTTCCCTCTTCCACAAACTCACCATTAAAAGATTTCTTTTTTTCATAATATTATGTTGGAGGCCTGGGGTTGAAGGGGATAGCCCTTGTTCGTGACATTACTTATAAAGACGTGTTTTTGCTCACGTCACACATAAAGTAAATCGCTGCTATTTCCAAAATGGTAACTTCACAGGGGAAGGAAAAAACATACTTCACTTTTAATGTAAGTCAATGCAATTACACAAGTAATTTTGGGCTGTTTCTTTTCATCCATTCATCATGAAATTAACACACAATGTAAAGAACAACAGGCACTTTACAATTATGTAAAAAAAAAAAACGCTAAAATGGAATTACGAGGTTGTGTTCTGACAGCAGTGATATATGACTTTTCTGTAAGGACCTAAACTGTGCCTTGTTCACAATTTTTACACAATTATGGTCTAGTCTTACTTACTGTGTTTTAAAATATCTATTCAGGAGACTCACTTTTAATTTTTCTGAGAAATCTGAGGGGATATTTTTCTACACCTCCAAAGTTCAGTCTTAGAAGTTGGTTTTACATTTTTTTAAATTTCAGTGTAAAATCTCAGAATTTCAGTTCACAGTTATTTACTTGTATAAATAATATATTAAGACGTACAGAAAAGTTGCCATTTCATAGCAGCACTCAACTTCAACAGCTTTCTGTACATTACAGGTACAGTAAATCACCATAAATACAGACAATTCATAGAGTTATAGAGGGATTAAGGACATACAGTGCTCAGCTGTGCTTTTGGTAGTGATGAACCTGCTGAGTTGGAATATAAATGCCCGGGGGGGGGGCTGGTTGAGGGGGTTCAAAGTTGGCAAATCGCTTCCCTGCATGTGTTTGGTACTTTCCCTGGTCTAGCATGGTTTTGGTTTTTCTTTTAGCACAGCTGCTCTGCAACGTGATTCAGCAAACAACATGATTCTTGTAAACAGAGAGTTCTTATGTTTGATTATTTCATACGAAGAGAAATGAATCACTAATAACAAAAAAAGGGAAAAGAAAAACACCTCAGCGTGAAAAATGCACAGCTCTGTGGAAGTGAGTTGTACACAGGTGTCAGTGCTTTGTAGAGCTTAATGAGTAAATTAACAGAGTAAATAAGGTCAATTAGGGGGTGGTTTATATATATTCTTATATATATGCAGTCCAAAAGTCAGAGACCACCCTCCTTTACTTAATTTACAGTCAGTACAGCAAAGTATAAGATTTTGGGGATTTGGAGCCATTTCTGGTGGAAATGTGTAATTGCAATGTGTAGAAAAACATTTTGTAGCATGGCTTGTGCTTCTCCCCCAAGCGGATTAATCTGATGACTGGAAGGAATTCTAAAGAAAACTCTGTCTTCTGAGGATGTGAGTGGATTATCTACTATCGTCATCATATCTTCATCAGTATAATGTTGATTTTGAGATCATTTGAGGCCTAAACATCGAGCCGGACCTTCTTTTTGAGTCTGTGTGTGTGTCACTAATACATAAAGACATACGATGTGGTCTGAAGAACTCCCAACCCAACACCTCTGACTTTTAAATGATTATGAGCACTCGGAGTGGCGCGCTCACCATATTTTTCTGTGTTTTTATTCTGCTCAACAAAAATTTTACATAGTTCAGCTTTAAGTACAGTTTTTCAGCGGCCAGAAAAAAAAGAAAACATATTAATGGAAAATTACACAGAAGTTTCAACAACTAAATATCATATCAATTTTGCAGTATTTAGTGTGTCCACTCTTTACCTTCATTACAGCTTCAACAAAAACTTTGACTTCACTTTAAGAAAAAGAAATCTCACATATTTATGATGAATATTTATATTTAGTGTCAAAATGTAAGAATAGCTGCATATAAAGCTTTCCTATAAGCTTGGTGACTGCATGACTACAAATCCCACAATTCAACATACATAATGGACCTGCCTGCAGGAGACATAGTTCCCTTCACGTAAACCTGTCTCCCAATAAACTTGATCTCGCTCCCTGTGCTTTTGGCTCTGGTGAAGGGACCATTAGCGTAGTACAGCTGGTGGAAGAGCTGCTCGTTGCAGCAAACGCGTTCTTTAAAAATGCCGAGAGCGAACCAGTTTTCACACAAGTCGTATGGGACGGAGAACATTATGACCAGATCTCCAGCCCACTCTCCGCAGTCATGTTTGAAGATCTCGTAAGTGAGGACCCCGACAGCTCCACAGGCTGTTCCTGCAGTTTTGGTGAAGGAGCACGCCTCCATCGTCCTCCTCTGTATCGTAGGCTGAGGGGGATTGTGAGAGTATCCACTGCTGGTGAAGACCCTAATATATAAAAAAGAGAAATGATATGTTCAAAGTTAGTCTAATTTGATCTAATTAATTTGGTCTAATTAAGCCCGTTATTTGATTGATTTGATTCTATTGTTACGATGTCAGGCTTGTTACAATAGAAGAGCCCTTTTTGGTGCTATAGGGAACTCTGTTCAAAGAGGTCCTATATAGAACCATTGTCTTACTGTACTGAAGAACCCTTGAAGAACCATCATTTTTAAGTGTGAAGATGATTAGGCTGAAAGAGGATATCACACATAATAAGTTTCAGCACTCAAGATCCCAAATCTGACCAACACGAACAAAATAAAACCAGACCAAATCTGTTTGTGCTTTTATGCAGGTACAAGAAGCAGAGCAAAAATGCAAATTGTGTGTTGGGAAATGTGGGTGTCATTATATTGTGCAGTGGAAAGACCCCCATTTGCTTATTTAATTTCTAGCAAATCAGAAATTAAGTACAAGTAAAAAAAAACAGAAAACATATTTAATAAAAATTAAATATAATATTAGATGTTTCAGTATTCAGTGTGGCCACTCTTTGTCATGCTTCCTGTCAATGGCGCACCTTGTAACATTCCTCACTATCTCAGCTGGCTCCGGTGAATCTATGAACTTCATCTCCCATGAGTCTGTGGGACACCTACTCCACCAAGCACAATCCAACTCTATTGTTCTGTGTCACCACAGTACCGACTGTTTCCACCTGTTGCCAGTTTCCATTGCAGTATATATGCAGGTCTGTTTCATTCATTCATTATGCAGTATTGCCTCTGTTTACAGTGCATACTGAGCATTCTGCCTTTTTGGTATCTCCATATTTTGACTTGCTTTTTGGTTTTGTTTGTTTTTATGAACCACATTGTTCTTCTCTTTTTTTTGTTCTGCCGCGTAACTCGTCCTGCAGTTTTTGAGATATCAACACCATTTCAACTCGATTGTCCAGTCTGATTGTGTGATTCAGGCTTTTTGATTGGATGGTTTCCGCATAGCAAAGGAAGTTTGTGGAATTTTTTCCCATAGGAATAAATTAAGTGCAAAACTTTTGTCACTTTGCTTGTGTCACGATGATACAAATACAGTAAAACAAACACTCAACACACCACAGACTCCACAAATACACTCAACACGCCACTTACACACACACACACTGAACACACCACACATAACACACCAAACACACACACACACACACACACACACACACACACACACACACACCACACAAATGCACACCCACATACTTTTAAGGTAGCAGGGGATTTTAGGTAGCAGTGTATTTAAGGTGGCACTGGATTTAAGGTAGCAATGATTTAAGGTGACAGTGAAGTTAAGGTAGCAGGAAATTTAAGCTGGCAGTGGACCAAAGCAACAACCAACTTAGTAACCACCTGCAATACCATAGCAACAACCTCGCAACCACTTAGAAACATCTTAGCGACCACCTAGCAACCACATAGCAACATCATCTCTCTGTCTCTCTCTCTCAGTTTTGACCTAGGCCTGTTTCTATACTACACTTTTGATAAACCCTACTGTGTTTACAATTGACTCTTTTGTTTTCATCCACGAGTGTCTGGCTTGTTTTTGGAGTGGAAAGATGGACAGCTACATCACCGGAAAAGTAGAGGTGGCAATTTATAGCATGTTAGATTGGAAGAAGCAGGGGTTTCAGGCATGGCTCACCTCCCCCACTCCCAACCCCAACTTCAGTAACTCCATTGAAAGGCCATTTTAAATAAAAATTAAATAAATTAAGTTTTACAAATTTAATTTTGCACAGTTGTGCCTTGATGTTCTGCTCCGTACACTGGGCTACAAACATTTTAGAGGCACTCACACATTCACCAGAGTTCTTTCTCTCTCCTCTCACTGACTATTGGAAAAACTGGATTAAAATTGGGCTAAATATTGTGTAGTGTATATCTGGCTTTTGCCATTCTTTATTCCTTCATCAGTGGTCAGTTTCTGATGACAGACCTGCTTTTGTCTAAATATTTTTGGGTGGTCCACTCAATCTGTCAGTTGCACACATCTATCAACCTTTTAACACCACTGATAAACTACAGATGGAGTACAGTCTGTAACTGTACACCGATATAATGGAGCTATAGACCTGTGAAGATGGGCAGCAAGACCTCACACTGCCACCAGAGGGAGACAGATAGCAATCGCTCCATCTCAGTCAAGCCCGTTCTGAATACATGGGCGAGCCCTACTTTAAGAGCTCTCTCCAGTTACTCAGTGCTCAGTCTTTAGTTATGATCAAGATCCAAACAAGACTCATGGGTAATAGTTAAGATTCTTGAGGTTTCTCTCAGGTCTCTTTGCTCTGTTGAGCTCTTTGTCTTTTGTCAGACCAAATCCCATTGAGCATGTCTCTGTGGGCTTTCTCTGCCCTCTTGTGTCCACTTCCTTGCTCCTAATTTCCTTTCTGTTTCTGTTTGGGGGAAAATTACCTTTAGAGTTTCTGTGCTCTGTTGAGCCGGTCAGTTTCCCCTAACAGTCATCAGTTTGTTAGTTTGTCCTTCCACGCCGTTTATGTGGAGTTGTTCTCGAGTTATTCATGTATTCTTACCTGGTTTATCTGCTACAGCACTGGGTTTTGAACATTCAGATCTGGGGTTCAAATTCTTGATTGAGTATTTTCAAAGACCCTGTCAACATGGCTTCAAATGTATGTTTTGAAAGTAAGGATATGCCATGGAAAAACCATGTACCAGTGTTATATTTAAGAAGTATATATAAATTAATGCAATTTAATAGTCAATAAGTGCTCCAAAAATTCTAAGCTGCTGTCTGCTCTTAACCGTGTGGGCGTGTCAGAATGCTAAAATGATTGACAGTGGAACATAAACAACCCAGATCCAGTGGCTGTGGTTCAGCCCTATAAAAACAGACCACTACACTCTTCTCGGAATGATGACGAAAGGGTGCAGTTTGCAGAACAAGCTGTCTAAGGGTCATTTTAGAGGTCACATTTTGCCAAAAATGTTGGAGTACTTAAGCTTTCATCTTATGTTGGGAAGAGCACTAACGTTACATCCAAGCTGTGAAATACAGGAGGTCCTGAAGGGTCTGGAACATCCAGTTAACCTCTTGGACACCCAGAATGAAATTCAAGTTATTATGAAGTTATGCTGTCCATTAGGGTAAAACAGACACTCAAATCCAGATTCAGTGAAGCTCATTGTTTATCTGCTTCACTCACAATCAGCTTCTGTCTTTTGTGTTCTTAACTGACTAGCACTGCAGCACTGCTCTGCCTCAGGGTGGCGCCGTAGCAGACTGGTTCACCCAGTTGGTCCTTCATAGTCTAGAAACTGTAACTCTGCCCAGATTCCTCTGAAACACTTTACGATGAGCTGCAGCAGATCTGTAAATCTGAAAATGCACCCAGTTTCCCAAGAGTTTGGTGTAAAGAGTGACTGTTGCTCATTTCTCACACTGAAGACAGAAGAGGAGACGAGGAAGACTTCAGTTAATGTGAGGGAGCTTCTGAAACTGAGGTCACTCTGACAGACACTGTGCAGAAATTTCTTGCACACCTGTGAAGTACTTAGAAACAATGTAAGCCTTGATGTTATGAGGCGTAGCTAATGTATTAGCTTTTTATACCTATATTTAAAGTGGACCGCCAGCTACTGAGCTCACGTAAATGAAGTTAATCACTTATAGTAGAGCCTGCAACAGGTGGCTAACACAAGAAGGCAGCAGCATCTAGCTATGATACAACCAACGGTGTATTGAACCTTCATAACAAGCACTGTTAACAAATTTAGAGAAGCTTAACCCTCTCAGGTCGACGATGTCGTATGCAACATCAAAGGACATTGAATATACAAGAATAAACATCTTGGGAATTCTACAAACTTTGATTTTTTCCCAGAAGGCTAGCGTCTTCCACTGAGGGCTTCAGTTCAGTCGTGTCCAATCAGGTCAGAGGCTGTGTTCCTGACTTGTTGCCAGAACGACGCTACCCCTCCAGGCAAAATGAAAGTGCATCTCTATCATGCAGCGTTTACAAAATATTTGTTCTTTTATCTATGATGTCCACATACGACATCGTCAACCTGAGAGAGTTAAATAAGCTGCTTGCTGGGAGTTTTGTCTGGGACTCAAAGCAGCGGGAGTTCAGTCACTTCATGTGGGAGAGGAACACGAGTAGCTGACGTATACATACTGCTAACTCTGATCTGATGTGACCTGTGCCAGTTCAGAGGAAAACGCCACAAAACTATAGATAATATTCAGAGGACAATCATGAAAATTAGTAGACAAGGGGTTTTAAGTTGAGTCTTCTTCTCAAAAACCAGCCATGTTTGTGCCGACCCCTTCCTTAGTTACGTTTTCCCCCCTTTGGCCTGGTTCTTGCCCTGTAGCGCTCTGACCTCTGGTGTTTGTAAGCTTGGGTTTGATTCATGCTGGAGGTCAGCAAGCCCTGCAATACTGTCATTTTGTAATCTGTGGCATGGCTAAATAAGGACCTTGAAAATATCTTGCCCTGTAGACACTGTCCCACAAGTGTCACTGGACTTCTGAACTATGAATAATGCTAAATACATGCCACAAGCGACACTCCTGCGCAATGAGTTGGCACCGCATGACAGTAACTCTGCTATTAAACTTCAACACCAGCTGCTCAAACTGCAGCCTAAAACTGCAAAGCCCTCAGAACTACCACACTGGACACAGTGTGCTGTTTTGTGTGGGGTTTTTTGGGGCGGTCAGTCTTATGATGTCAATTCCTGCCTCGTTATTCAAAGGATCCAGTGACATTCAGGATAGAAATATTTAAGCAATAGAACACGAGAGGGAGTGCCGTAGCTCATCACAGCCATGATGTTATTCGCGATAACACACAACCTCGTGTGTTCTATTGCTTTCATACAACAGTTAAATAAATAAAGTAAGAAATTAATCAACTGGGCCGTGAACGTGTCATTTAATATGTTTTAATGTTCGCAGTTCCTTCCGCCAAATTATAGTTCCTTAACAAGCAGCTCGTTGCTACGTCAGAGTAACGAGCTCCGCTCACTCGCTACACAGCCGGCAGTTCGTTCTCCAGCTCCTTACACTAAATTCCCAAACTGTCGTTACCACTGAGCAGCTTTTTTGTTTTTTTATTGTGGCAGTTTTATGGCTCAGTCTGATTTGGTCAGACTCTGAAGATCAGAATACACGTTTGGCGAATGGTATTTGGTTCATTTCTGGCTGATTCCAGGTTGTTTAGGTTCTTCTGTCACAGCTGCCAACTGAAAAGCTGCTCAGTGGTGATGACAGTTTAGGAATTTAGTGTAGCCTCATCTTCAGAGTCTGACCAAATCGGCTGTCAGTCAAATGTGATCTTAAGTATCCATTTTCTGTTTGTGGCAAAGTAAGAAGTAAAAACTTTCAAATGGCTTAAGCATCTGCTACAACTGTCAAACTTGTTGCTTAGCAACAGCGTCTTGGCAGAGTGATATAGTGTTTGTGAAAAACCCGTGATGTTATGGCGAAATAACAGCACAGTTAGAACGCCTCTCAACCAATCAGCTTGCGTGGCCGGAACTAACTGTTGTATAAACACCAGACAGAACGTATCAGCTTTGGTATTTTTTTTTTGTTTACCATAGCCTATTTTTTTTATGCTGTTTATTTTTCCCATAGAGCAAACCTGCTTAGACCCAGAGATCCTTATATGGACATGTCACTGACTTCAGAATGATTCACAGCCTCTGAGGTCTATAAGGCTGTGTTCAGACTGTGGGAAAATCCAATTTGTTTCTCAAATCAGATATTTTGAGGCGACTGTCCACACTTGCAAGTGATCAGATTAGATATGTCTGTCCCGAACTCACCAGTCTATCCGCATGGGTTGCTGTGGTAACAATGTACTAACTACGTAGCTATGCTGGTAATGCAAATTTCATGTGGTTCTGGTAGGTTCCTTTGCTTTTGCTTGGGGGGACAGACTGTTGTTCGCTTCCATAGAGCGTACAAGTAGAAATTCTATTGGCATAATCATAAATCTTTGGAGCTCTTCTTGAATCCCAGCACTTCATCACTGTGTATTTGACATCATCCTTGTTTGTCATGTTGCAAGTGACGTAAATCCGATTTGAGCGTCCAGCGTGTCCAGACTGAGACACATCTGAGTTGCATTTCGAACAAACGTGCAAAAAAAATCCAATTTGCAAAAAAACCCCAGATTTTATGTGTCTTTTGCTGTCCAGACTATCAAAAATAAATCTGGATACAACAAAAATCAGATTGGGACTGGCAGTGTGAACAAGGCCTAAGTTGGCCAGTGAATGGCAACAAGGTAGAGATTTCTAATAAAATGAGCAGTGAGTGTCTAATTTTCAGTACACTGTAATTTATAACAAGATTTTTGTAAAGAGCCCAAAAGACATCAGCACAGTTGGTTCACTGTTGAGAAAAGTGGAAAAATAACGAACATAAGGGTAGACTGTTATTCCTACCTACCTACCGTGGATTCGTTAAGATGTATTTGTGGCTGTAGTTGCTGAGCTGAATGGTGACGTTCTTTTCAGTGTTTATTTGCTTGGACATTTTCTGGATGGTGGTGTTTAATAAGGATCCTCCAGCTGTAAGAGGAGCTGCCACTGCTGCCTCTGCGGCGGCTAAGCTAGCTCGCATTTGTCTGCAGAGATCAGAAAACAGTGGCAATAATGCCAATTAGTCAACCAACAACAATGATTATGGATAAAGTTGATGCTTATATATATATATATAAAATCACGATGAATATATGTTCTAAATATAAGACCCACACAGTCATTCTGACAGACTGTAATACACTACAGAAAGTGTAGGGGGCGATATGACTTCATCTCAAAGAGAAATGAACAGGAGAAGAAAGCAGAATAGTTAGATTACTCACTTAATTGAAGAATAATCAATATAGAAATGATAAATAGATTAACTGGTTATAGAAATAATTAATAGTTGTAGATCAGAATCAGATGAAGGTTCGTATTGATCACCTTCTCTGTCGTATCCTTCTAGAGATGATCCTGACCATGATGTGCGAAGCTTGAAACATGATCTCGCTCTAAGAGAACACAGCAGACCCTTTGCCGTTACGGAGCCGCAGACTGTCATAAGAACAGCCGGGTGTATTATAGCGTTACAGGTTTTATATTGAAAAACTGTTTTACAACAGAATACAATCTTCTCGTCCTCCAATGTCCTCCTACCTTTTTTCCACTCCTTTTTTTTTCTTCTGATCAGCAGCTTCAGCTACATTAATCCAAAAGTTTCACCTTCAGAAAAACACATTCATTTCAGTCTCTGAATAAAAGACATTTAGCCTATTTTTTAGATGTTTAACTTCATATAAAATACAATATATCTGCTAAATGGCTGGAGAGGGGACTTACCTGCCTCTTAGAGCACAATAGCTCTTTGTGTGCAGATGGACTTTATATGCGTATATGTAGGTGGAAGTCTATAAGCTAATGTTTACACTTTCATACTCCACCCAAAGCTGTGGTTCTTACGTAAGTTACGATAAAAATCATGTGACAAAGAGCTTTAAACAATGAACTAGCTGAACCAAATGCACACAGCAGTGTTAGCGCTCAATGGGAGCATGATGATCATGTGACGGACAAGTGTTCAAGGTGGTTAAAAACAATGGTAATCAATCAGCTGTGAGGAATACCATAGGTAACATAAGAGTTTTAGAACATTTAGTTAAGCACAAATGCTGGAGAATTTCACTATTTAAATAGAGTCCTGTCCCTTTAAGATGCCAACAACTCCCTGAAGACACGTAGAGATGCGCTTTCAGTGCTTTCAGACATCAGGTTAGAATTATTTTAAAAGCTATTGGTGGCATTAGACCAAATGTCCGATCACATATGGTCAGGGGCGGTTCATTTCTAAACGATTTGATACTGCAAAAAGAGAAAAAAGAGGGGGGGGGGAGAGAGAGAGGCGGGAGAGAGGGAGGGAGAGAGAGAGAGCTGCTCCGTTGCTGCTGCAAGCAGTTAGGGATTTTTAGCTTAAACTAAGCGTTTATAGTGACTTTTACCACTGTTGAAGCTAAGATATTTCGGTTATTGAGTAAATAAGTGATAGAAGGTTTACTTCAGTTGATAAAGCTGTCGTACTTCAGGGTCAGCATTGTAAAAGTAACTAGTCTGTTCTATTAGCAGAGCCGGTTTATGAGGAGCCTGGCCACTTCCTATTCCCCCGTTATATCAAAAACAGGACTGCTAAACAGCAGAGGGCGCCCGCGAGTGAGTCCTCAATGAATGGGAGGAAATAGTGCTCAACGGCTAAAAACGAAAAGTTAAAATAGTTTCTAATCACTCGCCCAGGACGTTTCTTTAATTTTAGAAAGTAGAAGGATGTATTTCACTAAAAAAACAAAGAAATCTTACCTATATATTTCCTTTTTTCTACAGCAAACGGGTTTTGGGCAGCAGAAGGCGGGCATTACTCCTAGAGCGTGATGATTGATTGGTGAGCGGAGCAGCTCATTGGCTGTTCGCGCTCACTGACGTCATGGACATACATGGGGCGCAGTTTTAAACTCCTATAGCTCGAGTTTAAAAGCTCTTAAAATATAACAGCAGTGTTAAAATGTTTTATGATATTCACTGTTCAGGAAATGACTGCATTCTTTTACATTAAAAATGTTTAAGCATTTATAAACTATGGTTTTGCTCAAATGCTCCATATCAACCCATTCATTTTGGACTCGCTCGGGAGCGCCCTCTCTACTCTCCTCTCTACAAGTTCTGTGGTGTTAGCCTTTTGCTAAGGATCCACAGAGGCAAGCTTGTGTACTATAGGGAGCTTTGCTATCGTAGCTGGTGTCTTTGTTGTCAGACACAGAGCGAGATTTCTGGTGTTTGATGCTAGTTATATTTGAGTTTTACTTAATTTGTAAGAGAAAAAAGGGAACTGTTGTTAACTCTGTGCAGTATATTCCTTTCGACTTCAGTTTGAGTCAAAGAGTAGCCAAAGATTCCAGAACTGTACCACAGGCTACTTAATATAAGTGCATTGACGATAATTGTGTTTCTTTTATTTTATTTAAACGAGAAATTTTATATAGACACAGAGACAATTTCATTATTAAATATATTCATTTCACTTAAGTTACAGTTGTGTGCTTGTGACTGTGTAGTGTTAAAATTGAACTGAAGTGAGCCCAGACAAAACATAACTTCAAAAGTGAAAGCTTGACTGTATACATGCAGGATAAAGCAAGTAAAACACATCTACAAGAGTAGGTCTTGCTAAAGTGTTACTGAACCCAGAGCCCCTCACAGAAATAACTTGTGGCTTGTAGACGCTTAAGTGTGGAGGGTGCTACAAACAGATAAATACATTTAAATAGAAGGACTGAAATGTGGTAGGGGAGAGTGGGGCACCACCTAATACATTTTTTTTTTTGCGAAATAAATAAAAAAATATTTAAGTTGGAATAATCATGTTTTTATACAAGCAACATAAACATCTCTGCTACAAACCCACACTGGAACTTAGTTCCTAGCTCCTACCGTTCATGTACAATTCCACCAAAATGAGGGAAGTGCAGTGTTCCAGTTTAGCCCATAGGTGGGTTCACTGTAACAGACAGAGAGTCAGTTTAACACCTGCTAAAAAAGTCTGATCAATCAGTGCAAACAGAGTTAATTCAGTATAATTCTATGCTGCAAGAAATATATTTCCCAGCCGTACTGCATTATATATTATCATCTATAAGACAGACAGATCAGCTGATAGACACACACATCAAATTACATATGAACATATATGATCATACATATATGGTTGGATTTTGTGATTTACACAAACAGCTCAGTAACTGAAAAAAAAAAAAACAGTTTTAGAAAAATGACTTGCATGCCCTGAAAACACTCTTTGGCTCAGATCTCATTAAAACGCTGACCAATCGCTCTGAATTTTGGTAGGAGGTGGTGGCTAGGAAATGTGGTGATGTGGCCAGAAGCTTGCGCTGCTTGACCTTCTGTAACAACGTAAAACGTCTGTGTTAATTTGTGCCCCACGTTAGGTTGTTCCCCATGATCCCCTATCGTGTGTGTGTGTGTGTGTGTGTGTGTGTGTGTGTGTATACTGGCACGTAAAGCCCTATAGGAGCAGGATTGGTTTTTATCTGGCGAGGTGCTGTAATTGGAAAGATTAATGATAAGATCTGAGCCTTTAATCCAGTGCGAATCTGCAATGTCCATATTTTTTCACTAGTCTGCTACACTCTAAAAAAGATTCTTCACGGGTTCTTTAGGTAAGACAGTGGGTTCTATATAGAACCATGAACACTCAAAGTTCTTTGCATGGTGAAATGTTTCTTCAGGTTGATGGAGAATGTGTTATATATGGTTCTGTATCCAAATATATAGAATATAGAACCAAAAGGGGTTGTTCTATTGTTAAAAGCTTGATATCGTAACAATAACAGAACCCTTTTTGGTGCTACAAAGAACCATATACAACACATTCTCTATTAGTGTAATCTGTGTGTGTGATTGAACTGGCAGATTCACATTAGATACAGGTTCTGTGTAAATTTCCCCACATTATCCCAAATATCCCAGATGTTTAGGTCAGTATTATGCAACAGGCGCCGCTCTTCCAAACAATAACAACACATTCTGCAGCTAAACAGCAAATATGGTCAAAAAAGAACCCAAAACGCGACACTAGAGGAGGGAGGAGACTTTACATCTCATTTCATTGTGGGGAGATCAACAGCAATCCCGAATGATGGAGCATAATCATAACATACAGGACAGAATGAGGGGACACACACTTTTTTTTGTTGTAGATTTCAGTATTTTTTTTTTTGTTGTAGATTTTCAAACATTTATGTACAGCACTTTTCTAAGTGAGGCTACAAAGTGCTTTCAACAGTAAGATAAAGTAAATAAAATAATAAAACAATATAAAATAAATAACGTAAAACCAAAAACGGCACAGCTTCATCCACAAACAACAGAAAAATTAGCTATGTCCAAACTCAAAGGCTAAGCCATACAGTTATGTCTTAAGCCTTTTTTTAAACGACTCCTTAGACTTCCGTTTTCGCTTTGTCCTAGGGACCACTAAAACTCTTGACTAGAGGACCTTAGTGTCGTAGAGTTTGAATATGGCACTAATAGTTCAGAGCTATATTCCAGCCCATCACCATGCACTGCCTGATATGTTAAAACCATGATTTTGAAATGTACACTAAAAGTCACAGGCAGCCAATGCAAAGATGCCAACATGGGTGTAATGCGCTCCCTTCTTTTAGTCCTAGTAAATACCCAAGCTGCTGCTTTTGAACAAGTAGCAGCCATGTCACAGCTCCTTGACTAAGAAATCAAGCTGTTTTAGCCATTTTCCACTTGCAAAAAAAAGAAAAAAAGGGAGGCGCCTGGTTTTGTTGTATTACTGTGATTTGAACAGGACTCCTGTTACTGAGGGAGTGCCAAGTTTGGGGAAATGTGGTAACTCTGACCGTAAAAGCTACAGACATTGTGGTTTCATACCGGATCAAAATCACAGATCACTCAAATTACAGCACCTCCACTGTTTTGGTGAGTGAAGCTGGTTTAGCCTGCTTGCTAGGCTAACACTCAGGCAGACAGTATAGTGAAGCATGAGCGGCTTAGCTAACAGCTCCGCACCCAAACAAAAGGTTCATTCTCTCGCATTTAAGTCTGTATTTTCTATTCTTAAGCTTCAGCGCTGCGAATACTGTGGTATCCCTGCTAGAAAAACCAGCATAGACCAGCAGGGCAGATCACCAAAACCAGCATATGTTGTGTTTTGATGCTGGTAGGCTGGTCAACCATCATGACCATGCTGAGGTGACCAGCTAAACCAGCACCAAACTAGCATAAACCAGCATGAAATGCTTGCTGGCCTGTGCTGTTTTTTTCTAACTGGGATTTGAATCTTTAATATGCTAAGCTTACGTGCTACTAGAACAGCTCTATTCACCATATTTGACATATATATAAATATAATAATAGTCAACCAAGAGGAGTTAAGTGTATTGGCCACCACAGAGTCCAGACCTGAACCCCTTTGAGAATCTTTGGGATGTACTGGAGAAGACTTTGCGCAGTGGTCCAAATCTCCCATCATCAATACAAGATCTTGGGGAAAAATTAATGCAACTCTGGACAGAAATAAATGTTGTGATATTGCAGAAGCTTGTGGAAATGATGCCACAACGAATCCGTGCTGTAATCAAAGCTAAAGCCGGTCCAATGAAATATTAGAGTGTGTGACCTTTTGGCCAGGCAGTGTATAATATTAATTAAGCAATCATACTCGACATAAATGCTTATTTATTACATAACACTTGAAAGCTTGGTATTTTTTGCTATTAGGAATGAGCAAGCTGAAAATGTTTGATATTTATGATTTTATTTTTCGTATACATCATAATTTGTAAAACATTAAAACAGAAATCTCAGATATAGATATATTTAAACTGAATGAACTTTCATTTTTGATCCAGATTTCTTGTTAAGGCTCCAGTGGAGCTGCATATGAAGTATCTATGCCCGTGTGACTACAAATCCCACAATTCAACTTTCATAATGGACCTGCTTGCAGGAGACATGGTTCCCTTCACATAAACGTGTTTCCCAAGAAACTTGATCTCGCTCCCTGTGCTTTTGGCTCTGATGAATGGGGCCGTTATCGTAGTACAGCTGGTGGAAGAGCTGCTCGTCGCAGGAAGCGCGTTCTTTAAAAATGCCGAGAGCAAACCAGTTCTCATACAGGTTGTAGTCGTACGGGACGGAGAACATTATGACCAGATCTCCAGCCCACTCTCCACAGTCATGTTTGAAGATCTCGTAAGTGAGGACCCCGACAGCTCCGCAGGCTGTTCCTGCAGTTTTGGTGAAGGAGCACGCCTCCATCGTCCTCCTCTGTATCGTAGGCTGAGGGGGGTTGTGAGAGTATCCACTGCTGGTGAAGACCCTAATATACAGAACAGAGAAATGATATGTTCAAAGTTAGTCTCATCAGATTTCTTTTTCACCTTTTCTAATGTGAAATCACTCACCGTTCACTTTATTTGCTGTTTTCCTGTTTCCTAGGTGGCGTGTTAGTGAAAGCACAAGGTAGGTGTTTCTAATAAAGTGGCCAGTAGGTGGAAGCACAAGGTGGGTGTTTCTAATAAAGTGGCCAGTAGGTGGAAGCACAAGGTGGGTGTTTCTAATAAAGTGGCCAGTAGGTGGAAGCACAAGGTGGGTGTTTCTAATAAAGTGGCCTGTTTGTGGAAGTACAGGGTGGGTGTTTCTAATAAAGTGGCCAGTTAGTGGAAACACAAGGTAGGTGTTTCTAATAAAGTGGCCAGTTAGTCGAAGCACAATGTGGGTGTTTCTAATAATGTGGCCAGTTAGTTGAAACACAAGGTAGGTGTTTCTAATAAAGTGGCCAGTCAGTGGAAGTACAAGGTAGGGGGTTCTAATCTAGTGAGTGGGGAGTATGTAATTGGCAGTATACTGTATTTACAGTGATCATATTTATAAAGAATATAAAGAAAGTCACCAGAACAACTGGTTATTTCAACATGCATACATCAAATTTATGAGTGAAAACATAAGGACAGTTGAATTAGAATGGTTTCTACTAACCTCGGATTTGTCAAGATGTATTTGTGGCTGTAGTTGCTGAGCTGAATGGCGATGTTTCTGTCAGTCTTTATTTGGTTGGATATTTCCTCGATGGTTGTGTTTAATAAGGATCCTCCGGCTATAATTGCAGCTGCTGCTGCGACTGCTGAGCAAACGGCCATTTTTCTGCAGAGATCAGAATGCAACTGCCGTGGCCAGCCAACAAAGTGGAAAAAGTTAGCATGTTTACTTAAAAACAAAAGCGCTCTATAATGCTCATATGATCCACACAGTCATTCTGACAGACTGTAATACACTACAGGAAGTGTAGGGGGCGATATGGCTTCTATTGTTTCATTTAAAAAGTGCTCTATAATGCTCATATGATCCACACAGTCATTCAGACAGACAGTAATACACTACAGGAAGTGTAGGGGGCGATATGGCTTCAATTATTTTTATTTAATTGTAGATTCATGAGTTGTTTAGACTGTAATTATAATTACTTTTAGCAGTGATGAGCTAATGTCTTTAACTTTTTTAAAGAAAAGCATGCAGGTATGTGCCTGTCCATTTCATATCATCACTCTCAGACCAAAACCTGGTATCTGTGTTTTTGCTGTTTTTCATTTTTGAAATCATTTGAAAATACCAGTTAGCCTTTACGTTGTGTAAAACTTTCATGATGAATGGACCAATATAAATAATCCAAAATAAAACAATAATACATAACTTGAAATAATGATAAAAGACTTGAAATAATTAAAATAAAAAATAACTTCAAATAAATTTGTCTTACACTGATTTGAGGAATGTTTTTTTCTTTCTTGTTTAAATTCCCATTTTGGAGAAAGAAGGTGTTTGTCTGACTGTGACAGTATATTATTGCATAATTTTCCTCAGTACTTTATCTTTTGCTGGGCTCCAGTTGTTTGAGATGCTGGCACTGTGCCATGAATGAATCCTAATTGTTGCAGCATGCCCAACTGTTACTCACCTCTCAAAACCTTTGGGTTTTTTGTATTAGGCACATTAAAGATGGACATGGACAAATGAGCAGAACAGCTCATTTGTTATTTCACAATCTTTGTCCATCTACATCTTTGCTCACAACCCGTTACGCATTTTAGACCAGTGACAGCCGTCAGTGGCTCTGTTGTATATCATGTCATGATCCTACTCTCCGCCTGTGAATTACAAGCAGCCACCATATCAGGAAGACATCAGACTCGCTGACAAAGCCGAGTAGCAGAGAGCACTTGCACTGCCCGGCCACTTTATCAGAAACCCCTCCCTTGTAGCTCCACCTTGCTGGTGTACAGTTAGAGACTGAGAGAGTGGCCACTTTCTTAGAAACATGTATTTTGTAGTAAGTTTTTCCAATGAAGTGGCCAGTGAGTGGAAGCACAAGGTAGGTGTTTCCAATAAAGTGGCCAGCAGGTGAAAGCACAAGCTAGGTGTTTCCAATAAAGTGGCCAGCGAGTGGAAGCACAAAGTAGGTGTATCCAATAAAGTGGCCTAGTTAGTGGAAGTACAAGGTGGGTGTTTCTAATAAAGTGGCCAGCAAGTGGACACACAAGGTAGTTGGTTCTAATCTTCTATTCTTTCACTGCACCATAAAAGAAGAAATTGCTTGTCGCACGGACTGAACTTTGGAATGATTCCAACAGTTCAATTAGTTAATTAATCAAAAAACAGTTGAGAAATTAATCAAATTTAGTTAAAGAAACATGCCCTCGTACCTTATTTCTCACTGTGTTCTTCTGGTCAACAGCTTCGGCTACAGTAATCCAAGTGAATCACCTTCAGGAGAACACCTTCTCTCACTTTCTGAAAAAATAAACTGTTACTTGTGTAGCTTTGTGTTTAACTCTGTATAAAACATCACATTCATTTGATAATCAGCTATGAAGAAGAGCCCACCTGTGTCCCACAGATGAATGGCTCTTTGCGTGCAGTTCTTGACTTTATAATAGATGGAAAACTGACGGCTACTCAGAGGTTTCACGCTCCACCCAAAGGTGCACTTATTACGCAACCTATTTTGGCTCTTGTGATAAGAACTGGTGTGAGAAAGAGCTTTCCAAAACAAACACACTGGATTTGAAATGCACAGCGCTGTCATCACACAAGCTGACAAATCTTATCACATTCAGCATGTTTTAACAATAAAAGAGGTCGACTGTGGAAAACTAAACACTAATAATCAATCAACTGCAGAAAGGATGCCAGAATGAATTCAGATTAAATAAACAGAAGGACTGAAACCTGGCATTTGTGCATTCAGCATTCCTTCAGCGTGGGTGTGACTCTGTTAGTCATGAAAGGCCATATTTGGTCATCATTATTAGCTGATAGATGTGGGCGATTTATCGCTGGGCTTTTATATCTCCCACACACTGTGGAAATAATGAGTCTCATTCAGGAAACACAAGCAAAAAAATAAGTGAGTGGGTCATTCGTAAAACCCTTTTACCTAATTTACCCTAATTTCTCATATTCGTAAAAGCTATATTAATCCCGTGTTGCGAAACAAAGTGTAGAAGTAATCCCAGTTTAAGTTAATGTCACGATATAAAACGAACTGTAGACACAACCTCAGATTTTTGTGCTCCAATACTATAAAATATACCTAGAAATAACCCCAGATTATATTAAGTCTGTGTTATAAAATGAACCCAAGAAATAGCCAGAGATTATATTAACCCTGTATTATAAAATGAACCCAAGAAAAAGGTTGAGATTATATTAATGCCGTGCTATGGAATGAACCCAAGAAATAACCTGAGATTATATTAATCCCAAAATATAAAATGAACCCTAGAAATAGCCTGAGATTATATTAATCCCATGCTATAAAATGAACCAAAAAATAACCTGAGACTATATTAATCCCAAAATATGAAATGAACCCTAGAAATAGCCTGAGATTATATTAATCCCATGCTATAAAATGAACCCAAGAAATAACCTGAGATTATATTAATCCCAAAATATAAAATGAACCCTAGAAATAGCCTGAGATTATATTAATCCCATGCTATAAAATGAACCAAAAAATAACCTGAGACTATATTAATCCCAAAATATGAAATGAACCCTAGAAATAGCCTGAGATTATATTAATCCCATGCTATAAAATGAACCCAAGAAATAACCTGAGATTATATTAATCCCAAAATATAAAATGAACCCTAGAAATAGCCTGAGATTATATTAATCCCATGCGATAAAATGAACCCAAAAAAATAACCTGAGATTATATTAATCCTGTGCTATAAAATGAACCCTAAAATAGCCTGAGATTATATTAATCCCATGCTATAAAATGAACCCAAAAATAACCTGAGATTATATTAATCCCATGCTATAAAATGAACCCTACAAATAGCCTGGGATTATATTAATCCCATGCTATAAAATGAACCCAAAAATAACCTGAGATTATATTAATCCCATGCTATAAAATGAACCCAAAAATAACCTGAGATTATATTAATCCCATGCTATAAAATGAACCCTACAAATAGCCTGAGATTATATTAATCCCAAGATATAAAATAAACCCTAAAAATAGCCCGAGATTATATTAATCCTGTGCTAAAAAATGGACCCAAGAAATAGCCCAGATTATATTAATCTCATGCTAGAAAATTAACCATAAAAATAAACTGGGGATATGATAATCCAGTGATGTAAAACAAAGTGTAGAAATAACCTCAGGTTAAATTAGTCCTGTTTATCTTAAACCTGTGCAATAAAACAAACCGTACAAATTATCTTAAATTACATAATTCCATTGTATAAAATGGTACATAGAGATAAATCCAGGTTATATTAGCAGAGTGCTATAAAACAGCATAGAAGTAACCCAGGTTATATTACTCCAGTGCTGTAAAAATAAGATGTGTAAATTCAGTAGCCACTAACATCTCTGTAATCTATATTTTTGTGCCATGCTAGTTGGCCATAAACATTGCAGAGGCCCTGTGGTAAAGTAACACTATTCCACCTCCTCATAGAACACCAATCCCATCCCATAATCCCTCAGATTATCTCATAGAGAATGGATGCAGTATTGTATCATTTATGACTGTTCGAATGTAAAGGAAAAATCCTCCATTACATTTCAATTTAAAGCTCAGTCAGTGGGGCAAACAGGAGTTAGCAAATAGCTTCTCAGCTAAAGCGCCCCCTGGGTCCTACTGCCCACAGTAATGTCCACTCCTGACTCATCAAAGAGAATTTAATGAGGAAGGTTTTTCTACATTCAGAAGAGAGAGAGAGAGAGAGAGAGAGAGAGAGAGAGAGAGAGAGAGAGAGAGATCCAAATTCATTTGTATTGTAAAACCTCCCGAACAGTCGGGGTCGGCACGGTTCTTACAAAAGTCTGTTTCAGCGGTCAATTTAAATCTGTTTCACTCTCCCCTCAGAAACCAATTAGGAAATTTAATTTGACTCGCTTTCGCTCCGGCTGCATTCATAGCTCAGCCAAGTCCGGAGGAAATCACAGAGGAACTGATCTGATAGGAGAACCAAATCCAGCACTGTTCTTCTCCTGCACCTCTCTGTGGTGGTCAAACGCTCAGCTCACGCTCATAAATAAACACTGAGGCTGGATTTGTTATGTTGCTGTTGTGCTCACAGCAGTGCGTCTCCTCTGCCTGCCAGCAGGTGGCAGCAGAGTCTGTAAAATATGCGCTGTGATGGTGTAATACCTGCAGTGCACACAGGGGTCACATCAGGCCATTTCGGAAACAGTTACATGGAGTTCTCATACATGTGAGAACTTGTCAATATTGATAAAAATATATGAACATGTATTTTTATATATTTGAAACACTTTTCAAATACACTGCAGTCAATGCTGAAATACATTCCAAACACAAATTTATTTCAGAATATTTTTCCATATTAGCCAAATATATTTTAAAATGCATTTATTTTAAAATATATGGGGAAATATTACTACATAGAAATGTAGCCCACAGAAATAAATGTTTGTAAATGTATTTATCAAATCCGTTTGAAAATGTATGATAGTATATGACAGAAAAAATCCTGTCTAATGCACTTTTCTGTTTGATACCTTTTGAAATCAGTATCTTAATTTTAAATATGATCAAATGAACCTTTAACATGACAAAAGCAGGTGTTGTGGGTATTGATAGATCTGTGAAAGTGCAGTTATGATCTGATATCTTGTTTATCTGAAATACATTGTGTGTGAGTGTCTTACTGCGTACATGGTTAATATAAAGTACAATGCAGATCACAGAAGTCAGAACCATTTAGTTGCATCAGTAACCTTTATTACAGCTACACACAACTCAAAACATATAATAACTAATACTAATAATGCATTTTAAAAAGTATATTCAACAAATACTTTTTTGGCCATTTTAATACATTGGAAAAATGTATTTGATAAATATATTTGGTAGGGGGGTTCTATATGGGGTGATTAGAATATTTTGGGACTATCTTGGGAATTCTAAAAATCCTGTGAATTCTGTGACTAAGTAAGCGTGCCTTAGGAATTTTAGAATTATGGTTTAATATCTTTGGGATATTTCAGTTCAAGTGGAATGTCTTGTGAATTCAATTATTTAAGAAGGATGTCTTGGGAATTATTCAACCCAGTCAGAATGTCTTTGGAATTCTATAATTTGGATTTAGTGCTTTGAGAATTCTTGAATTTTGTTTCAATGTAATAGGAATTCTTGATTTCAGTTTGAATGTCTTAGGAGTTCTAGAACTCCTTTAGACTATATTGGGAATCCTAAATATCCTGGGAATTCTGTAATTATGTTAGCATGGCTTGGAAATTCTAGACTTCCGGTGTAATATACTTGGAATACTTCAATTGAATTGGTGTGTCTTGGGAATTCAAGAAGTTAAGAAAGATGTCTTGGGAATTATTTAGCCCAGTCAGAATATCTTTGGAATTCTAAAATTCTGATTTAGTGCTGTGTGAATTCTTGAATTTCGTTTAAATGTCTGAAAGAGTTCTAAAACTAATTTATAATATCTTGGGAATCCTAATAATCTTGGGAATTCTGTAATTCTGTTAGATTGTCTGGGGAATTTTAGAATTCTACTATAACAGCTTGGGATATTTCAGTTCTGTTGGAATGTCTTTGGAATTTAGCGTTCTTGTTTAGTACTATGCAAATTCTTGAATACTGTTTCAGTGTAATGGGAATTCTAGAATTCTGTTGGGGAGTATCTTGGGAATCTTTCAATTCAGCCAGAGTATGTTGGGATCCTAAAATTCTGTTGTAATAACTTAGGAATTCTATTAGAATGTGTTGGGAATTCTTCAGTTCAGAATGTCTTGGGGATTCTAAATTCCCAGGATATTCTATTTTGGAAATTCATCTGAATTCTTTCATTCTTCAGCCTGTCAGAGCTCCTGCCACTGTGTGTGTGTGTGTGTGTGTGTGTGTGTGTGTGTGTGTGTGTATTAGCATCTGTATACAATTACAATACACACAGAGCAGCCAGCTCACACACACACACACACACTCCAGATGCCCAGATGTCACCTCCCTCTCCCTCCTTATTTTCCTCTCACTGCCTCTATGTCTCTCTCTCTCTCTCTCTCTCTCTCTCTGCATGCAACCGGCTGTCACTCTTGTGCGTTTGAGTGTTTGTCCCCCGGGGGGCGCTGTGTTCCTCTCGCTCTCTCTCTGGGGGAAACAGGATGTCAGACATGTTTATCACTTTAATGGAGAACGTGTGTGACTGTGTGTGTGTGACAGAGACAGAGAGAGATGCAGAGAGAGAGAGAGAGAGAAAATGAAAGAGAGATTAAATGAAGAATAAGTCTAAAGCTGGGCGTACACTACAGGCCTTTTAAAAATCCAGATTTTTAAAAAATGGAGCATCACACACTTAACGTCAGTCTTTTACAG